GCAGAGAAAGAGCGAGGGTTTCAGAAATATCAGCTCTGCAATACTGAAACCATGTAATCAGCTGTAAGTGACAAGATCCTTTTATCCATGTTTTAAAATGATCAGCTACAGTGACAAGGCTCTGCTGCTCTGATGGTTGTCTTTTTAGGATAATTGTTGAGCAAGTTCATGGTATCTCTATAGTATGACACAGTTAAAGTGCAGTGTGACTCATAGGTTTATTGTAAAGGAAAAAATAATATGGTTTGTCAAGTAAAGCTTCTCTAAATTGTTTTTAGTGACAGACAAGCCAACTTTCTGTTTGCAAGTCATTTTAAAACAAGAATTTTAATGATTAGTCAATTAATTGATTATTTCATTAACCATTAAATTAATTCCCTACTATTATGATAATCGATTAATTGTTTTAAGTAATTTTTCAAGAGGAAAAAGTTTTTGCTTTTTTGAATATTTTCTGGTTTCTTCAGTCCTCTATGGCAATAATCTGAATTTCTTTGGGTTGTGGACAAAATAGAAAAAATTGAGAACGTCACCCTAGGTTTTGGGAAACACTGATAAACATTTTTACTGCCAATGTATGGACTAAAAAACTAATTAATTGAGAAAATGATCGAAAGGTTAATCAATAATGACCATATCCATTAGTTGCAAGCTTACCACACAAAACGTGATCCGAGTATTTCTGTTGTGAAGGAATCAAAACATTCAAGGTGTAAACTCTACAGGCATTAGATGCTAGACAATTTAATAACAGTCTCTGTCGTTCAAAACACATTTTCTTCACAGCAACCCAACATTCAAAAAGCTATCGCTTCGCCATCTGTCATCTCACTTAAGTGCAACATACATGATTAAATAACTGAAAGTTTGAGTATTTTACAAACAAGTCCTCAAAATGTAAGACAGACACCTGTGGCAACCAGGAACAGCTGTTAACAAAATGCATCTCCTATACAATCACACAAACTGAAATTAGCATATTCCTTAAGACCTATTCTTTTCTATGTATGCGCACACACCTTCTGCATGTTAGAAACACATTCACACTCGCCTGGTTCAGTGCAGTCTGTCTATAGGTACATCCAGTGAAGGTGTTAAAGGAGGAGAGACAAATCTGGTCTTTTTGTCTGTATGTGACTCTTTTCATAACTGTGAACAGCACAAATCATGGACTCTGATCTTTTCAATTCTGAGTTGGACCATTTTCATATGTGGTCCAAATAACCTCTGTGCTTGTGTGTTGAGCAGGTTATAGGCAGTTGTTTGAGTTTGAGAAAGTGACCCAAAATGTCCCATGACAATTAAAGGAAATCATTGATAATAGGTCACTAAGTAGACTGACTAAGTAGTTCCTGACCTCTACTTCTTATATTACTAATTTAAATGATCATATGCAATGTGGCAAGCTTGCAGCATTGTCACCTAGTTCTGCAGCTTACAGTCATTGTTATGGTTTTATGGCATATTTACAGCCTCACAGCTCTCAACAACCCTGTCCACGTAGCTACATATTTACAGGAACGTTGAATTATTAAAGTTAGCAGGTAACTGGTGTAGAAAGTAACACATCAAGCAGCTAAATACCAGTAATATATTGGCTAAAGAAGAGCCAGGAGTTGGAGAGGGAATCAGAGCTATAACAGCAAGTATTGGACTTACACAGAAGTGTAAGTGTAGTAGACGATTGTTTGCTAACACAGTAGCCAAAAAACCTTAATGAGATAATATGTCGATAGCGTCCATCTACTTGGTTTGGAGTTCTCCTGCTCCCTTGTGGCCAAAAATAAATAAATCAATGAATTTGGCCTTAACAAAAGAGTATGCAAATGTACAGTAAAAAGTGCAACAAACAAGATGTAAAGCCTGAGCAAACAATAGGAAAACCTCAATAAAACTGTCTGTAAGGGAACAGAGACGCTTGCTTTTCTGGCAAGCGTGAGAACATCCTCATGAATATTGATTTGACAGCTGTCAAAAAAAATTGTGGTATGAAGTTGGGCACATCCACATTAAAATGTTCAAGTAAATAAAGAAAAGCTTTCTTTCCCTATGGGTCATTCCAAACTGCAGTCCTCCTTGGTGACAGCAAGAAATGGAGAAGGCTCTTTCATATTCCATAAGCTCTGAAATAGGAAGGGATCGGATTATGTTCTCCGGTTTGGAGGGGAGTGGGAGTTTGTGTTTTACTGTAAAAAGAATGGGGAGAAACAGAAAAAATACCTAAATTGAGAGGGGAAAAAAAGAGAGGCCAGCACTGGAAAGAAAAAGGATAGAAAATTAAGAGATTTGCTGACCTAAATGAGGAGACATATTGTGTAGGGAGATGAAGAATGTCTCATTCAAACTGAATCAGTTCCACCCACTGATGATCTTGCTCTTTTTCTTTCTCTTTGCCTCCATGTATGTCACTTGTGCTCTTGTTGTCTATCTCCCTTTTCCTCTCCTTCTTTCACGCCACACACATAAACACACACTTAAATGTCATTCTGTCCATTCATTTACAAACAGAAGGGTGCCACATCCTCAGATGAATACATTTCTGGCAGAATATTACTGCTTTCTCTCCTTTCATTCTTTCTGCCTCCATCCTCCTCTTTTCACGCCAAGCTCTATTCAGAAGTAATGAATGCCATAATCTGGAGGGGGAGATGATTTCATCCAGAGCTTTTAGCCGCTGGACCAAGCATGAAAGCCTCAGTCTGTACTTCCAGCGTGGCGTTCCCTTTGGGACACTGTTAGCAACACGACTGGCTTTGCTCTCAAAGCAAATTATTAAATTGAGGGCTTCTTTTCTGACCATCAAAATTGCTGTCTCAAGATCAGCTTGAGAGAGGCTACAACTAGTTGAGGATGTGTCGAGATTTGGAGTAACTGAAAAGATGTGTTAATTATTTAATTCATGCATATCTGCTGTGTCAACATATTATCACTCCCAATTTGTCAAATACTGCAGCTTGTTCAGTCTCCCTCTGCTTCAAAATATCACACTGCACAAGTTGCGCAGGGCTCTGCGATCAACTTAGCAAAAAAAAAAATGCAACATCCAGTTACACTTTCTAAATAAAGTTTGATTAGGTTAAGGCACAGAAAATACTTGGTTAGGATACCTGATGTAACGTAAGTATGTTATGTAAGTTAACTTACGTACGTTACTTAAAGGTCCAGTGTATAACATTTAAAAGGTTCTATTGGTGGAAATTGAATATATTATTCATAGCTATGTTTTTGTTAGTGTATAATCACCTGAAAATAAGAATAGTTGTGTTTTCATGACCTTAGAATGAGCTGTTTTTATCTACAGCAGGTCCTCCTCCTCTTGGGCCACGTTGAACAATCATGTTTCTACACATCCTCTGCAGGTTACTGATGCATTTCTTTTAATTTTCTGAGAGAGGGGGAGCCGGCAAAATTGCGGGGTGCAGTTACACTCTAAATATTTAGCTTTATGCCTAGGAAAAAAAAAAATTAAAGTATACACTGCTACCTGTGAGCCCACTTCTTCTGCCTATGAATATATATCACGTTCATATAGATTTGGTGGATAAATCACGAATTGTATCTTTAACCCACATTGATTTGGGTGTCACAGTGTTGAAACAGGAAATCGCAGCCCATGTTATTTGACTAAAATGTCAAAGCTTTATAGAGGTCAAGGCATTGTGAATGGAGAGAGACAGACACATACGAGGTGTGAATACAAATTCCAGTACGACTAAGAAAACGGCTGCAACCACTGAATCTGTAAAACACAGAGCAGCATGAAACAGCCCAGAGGCCTTTGAAGTCTCTTTCACAGCTCCATCAGTTTGCAGTATGGAGCACTTCAACCGTCACTGCCATTGACATTGTGGTAAAACTGTAGGTGGAGTGACCTCTGTCATGGCAACCACTACTACTAACCGGAAGTACGTTTTTGTAAAATGTGCAAAAATGACACCTGATTTTTGGTGCAATTGTAAAATTATATATAGATCCTTTATATATACTATAAAGGATCTAAACATGTTTCCACAAAACATAGAATTTCTGAATGCATCAGCAGTGTTTAATTTGACCCCTTTTGAAACTTCAGTCAGTATTCAAAGTACTAAAAACTCTCTCAGTAGGCAGGACTTCTATGGTGCCAAATACAGCAGGTTTGACTGTTTATTCATATTTTTGGATAAGTACATTCTCCGAAACTTTACACTGATATTATGTGTGTCAATCATGGAATGAACATTACAAGGAGCCTCTTAAGTACTGAAAAAGCAGCCCCACAGCAATAAGTATTAATTTAGAACAGTTATTAGGCCACTGTGTCAGAGTCATAATCTTATCAGGCAATCAAAATCAAGAATCCTGTGAAAATTGAGCAGTTGAATAATTGTTTTATTATTTTCTGTGTTTTATTATTGATTATTCCTCCCATTCTTTCCTTGAGAATTAATGATTTTTGAAAGCTGACTGCAGAGGTTCAAGCCACATGTCAGCGGAGACAGAAGATACTCACAGCAAAACTGGTTGCATAATCTATCTCCATATCTCATGTCTGTGTTTGTCTCTGTATACAGTATAAATCCAAATCACATTTATCAACTGACACACCAGTAAGAAGCACTCAAAGAGCAGAAGGACACAAGTCAAGACGCTACTTAAAATAGCTGGAACGTGTCAGTGCTGCTTCTGTATGATCTGTGTATGAAGGTTGATGTGTGGGCTTGTAATTGATATGTGGCTGTTGCGGGCCACTTCTTCATGCTATTGATTTTATATCTGTTGGTCTGTCACAGCTGACCTGCCCACTGCCTCACAGCCAGCCACACACAGACATGCATAATCTAATAGAGGTGTCTGACCCCTCTAGCTCATACACACAAATAGAAGACATGAACACAAACACAGAGTAAAAAAGACAACATTTTATATAGAAAAAGAGGTAAAATAGCAGAAGAAAATTATCAAATCACCAGCCAGATCTATTTTAGTCAAGAAGCAGATGTTTAGGTACATACCATGCATTTCCTTTATCTTCTCTTTTTCTGTTTCCTTGACACCAATCCCTTTTATGTCCCATATGGCCTCTTTTTTCTTCTTTTTTAAACTGTAGTTATTCAAAAAAAACAATGCAAATTACATTGCACATTTCAATCAGTATAAACATTAACATTTTCCAATGGAGATAGCACAACTATTGCAAGAACACAGCAAAACACAAATGTCAAGTTTGTTTCTGTATATAGTTTTTTTTGTCTCCCATCCTTTGTATTTTTCAAGCATTTATTTCCCCGAGCTAGCAGCAATGTTGGTCATCCACCTGCCTTAACTTTAGCACCTCCATGAGGTTGACATGTGTGGTTTTAAGTGAAATGTTTTGACATACAAATACTGGATGAATTACCATGAAATTTGGTACATACGTTCATGCCCCCCTCTGGATGGATTATAATCAACTCTCCATCTAGTGCCATCATCATACAAAATGTAATTTGTTTTTTTAACGGCCAAACACCAGGACACTATACTTCTGTGTTTACTGCCAAACAGCAGATGCTGACAAGAAAGATGGAGACGGAGTCAACAAATAAAGTTGAAAAGAAGATTAAAGTGGATTTTTACAAAACTACAGCAAAGCAAGGCAAGTCTGACATTTGAAGAAATTTCACAGTTGTTATTGACACAGTAAATTAACGTATTTTAATGTGGGACAGAAGTAGCAAAATCTCTATTATTCAGGCACAAATGGTCAGAATGTTTGCGGAAGTACGAAGTAGGTCAGAGCAGACGCACTCTACTACGTCCCCTAAGCTAAACTGGGGTTGGCCAGCTGGCTGTGGCTTGGGTATACATTGTGGGTGTCAGTATTAACAGCGATATTCTGAAAGTTATTTTTAGAACCTTTAAACAAAATGGCGGACAGTATATATAATGCACTATGTAGTAAATTGGGAGTGATTCAGACACAGCTTCTCACCTTGCTTCCTGACTATTTTCTCATATTTCTAGACATTCTTTTTCCATCTATAACATCTATCCATTGAAAACATTACACATTTTTAAGTAATCCCATCCTTCTACAGCATTTTCTCCTTAACTGATATTCCATTTACACAATAATGATTATTAAGGAAGCAAAGATGACATTTCAGTCTTTGGTAAATTGGTTGTTTGTCCCTAGTGCAGTTTGACAGCCCAAGAATCTCCAACCTCAACAACAACATAGGTCTCCAACACAACGCTGACTCATCTAACTCTGTTTTCTGATATGACACCTTTAATAACAGGATGACATCTCTCGCTTTTACCTCACTCTGTCTCACTATGTTCCTGTCTGAAACTCCGTTTTTTATCATCAGAAATCACTTTTGCTCTGTCCTTGTCTCTTTTTCTTTTCCTCTCTCTCATTCACTCTGTAACCTGTAACGAACAAAAATCTCTATAAACAAGCCTAACGTAGCTTTACGATACCCCTGCTGGGTATGAAGGTGTCTGCCAATTTCTTCAAACATCAATTTGTACGGATGACATCATGCAAACACCTTCTTCCATTTTTGCTCCGGCGTATAGTCCCACAGCAATTAATTTACAAAAAAACCCTCTAAGCAGGCAATTAAACACATCCCCGCTTAACCTTGCTTTCAAATACTGTGGATTATACACAACCTAATGAAAAAGACTTTCCTTCTCGCTCCTGCTGTTCATTATGCTAATAAAATTCCCCTTTTAGCTGCCATATCTTCCTTTATTTTAATATTCAGAGAAAGAGAGAGGGACCGGAGGAGGAAAAGGAAACAGTTTGTTTTTGGTGATTTTTGTTTTAGCATTGAACGTGTTCCAATAAATAATTCTGCAGTGGGACGACAGGAGCGGGTGTGAAATTATTACACTGTGCACCTTGATTATTGCAAATGGAGTGCATCTATTTTGCCTGAGAAAGAGGGGGACAACTGTGGGATTTTGCCACCGAGGTGTGAAGTGCAATCCCAGTCACCCTAATGTAATTATACATGGGAGGTGGTGTGTGTGTGTGTGTGTGTGTGTGTGTGTGTGTGTGTGTGTGTGTGTGTGTGTGTGTGTGTGTGTGTGTGTGTGTGTGTGTGTCAGTGGTGGCGGTGGTGGGGAGGGGGGGTTTAAAGAAAGGAAACAGGAGGATAGACTTTTTCCTTTGTGAATAATTCATGGGCTTGAAATCTATGAGAGGTTTCTGCTAAGTAGTCCTGCTGGCAGACAGTGACGAAATTCACACACATGCACACACACATATAAGGTGTCCTAGAACAAGTATGACTACTAAGCATAAAACTGCTGTAAAGTAGAAACATACAAGTAACATAAACACATAAAGGAATAGAGTCAAGAGCCTCTGATATACAATATACACTCTGCAATACATACACACTCGGTGGGATAAGCGATTCAAATTCAATACACTTTTTTAAAAATTCAGCTAATATCTCCTCACAGCCCTCTAGCTTTAAGCTCTGTGCACACTGAAAAAATACAGTGTTTGTACACAGCCCTGGCTCTGTAAATGGGAAACAAACAAAGTGGATCGGACTGAGACACACAACAATAATTTGATATTCCAGCCAGGATTTGTGTGTCAGGTATCGTTAAATAAGTTGCCAACAATCATTTAGCTGACCTTCTACTTTGCCAAGATACACTGTTAGCTACAGTGGCAGGAAGGTTGTGAGTACAGCTGTCTGCAGCTGGAGTGCTGGCTCTAAGAAACACTGTATTGCGCATGGGTACGTGTGATGAATCAGTGACACTTGCCATTGTTGTGCATGTAATGCCCAACACATTCTCACTCCCAACTTGTCAAATACTGGCGCTTGGTCAGTGGCCCTCTGCTACAAATTATGACACTGTAAGTATCCCTCTAGCTCGTCTGCAGCTTCCAGTCTAGTTAGCAATAATAATTATGCAACGTCCGGTGATAAACTTTAAAGATAAAGCTTGCATAAATAACATTAGTGGGGTATACTCCTTGGTCAGGATTTGACACAAAAACAGGGTTGGCAGGCGCATCCAGATATTATGCTAAAGGCACTTCTTTAGTGTCATATTTTGAAGCGGAAGACCATTGACCAATCTGCAGTATTTGATTACTTGTGAGTGAGACCAGGTTGAGGTGGCTGTGGAAAATCAGGCTTGTGCACACTTTCTCAAAGATTGTGTACAGAAATAAAAGAAAGATTTATAAAGCAATGTGGAGTTTTATGCAGCCCCACGTGTGAATACTTCAGTTTGTTTTATTACATTTTACTGTACAGCTAAATGTTGTTTTTTTTTTACTTTTTTTCTATTTTCTAACTCAAAATCATGCTATTTTTATATATTGCAACTGCTTAAACTGCATAAAAAGTAAAAACAAAAAGAAAAATGTGTACATGATACACACACACACACACACACACACACACACACACAGTTTCTTGGTGTAAGAGACAGTTTCCTAAAGACACTCACACACATAAACACTTGGATTTACTCAGGCAGAACACACTAACACAGAACAAGACCCACACACACACTGAATCAAGAGTTCCGGTGAGTTCCTCGACCACTAAATATATTACTCCTCACTCACCGACATATGCACACACTCACACACTCCACAACACACACACAAACACCCTCTGAGTGTCCCGACTGCTAAATACTTTACCCACCTGGCAACCCATAGCTCTGTTAGTTAAAAGCTTTCCGATTGGATGTACACGTATCCGGTTTCACTTTAAAGAGCCTGCGGGAAGCAGAGCCGCTCGCCATCGGCGGGAAAACATCACGCTTTTATTCCGGGAAAGTCGGAGAGATTGAGGTGATGACCGGCAGCAGAGATGGATGGTTATAGACAGAGGCTGTGAGAGTGCAGGAAAAGGAGGGTCTGTTGTAATTAGTTTATCTAATATCTCTCTGCTTCTATCTGTGTCATGTTCTCTTTAAGTCACTTTCTTCTTTCTTTCTTCTCGTTGACTGGGTTCTCCTCACCTCACCTCTCTTCTCCACTGTTTTTGCAAAAACATCTCATTTTTATTTACTAATTAACCTCAACTTTTAACAAATTATCTCTTTCTATCGTCCTCCTCAGTTTGCCTCTCACTTCATCTGCATTTTCTCTCATGTTTCCATCCCCTCTTCTTTTCTGCCCTTAACCCACTTTTCTACCTCCAGCATTAAATTTTCCCTCCCTCCCTCCCTCTCCTTAACTCATCCATCTCTTTTTTCTTTCTTTCACCCTGCCTCCTCTCCTCAATCCATTCATCCCTCCATTCATCCATCCGACATAATGTGTCTCTAAGTGAGTTACCCGTGGAAACAAAGTGGATCACATCACTGTAGTGATTACATCACCCAGCTGATATTATGGGCTCCATTGTTTACACTCTGGTTGTGAGAGAAAGACACAGAGAGACAGAGCTCATGCAAGAAGGTTCCTGTGTTTTAGTTTGAAGGTTATCAATTCCAGCGCCTGCTCTGGATCAGTTTTATGATAATAATCCATGACATTTTCATGTAAATAAATGTCACTGTTGCTACATTCAGCTGCTGATTGCCGTCACACCGCAGGAGTTGGGCCATACATTTTACTTTTTTGTAATTGGCTGGTACGTTTATGTTTCCAGCCACAGAAACAGCATAGTCTCCAGCATGATTGACAGATAGGACCACCAACAGAAACAGAAACCAATGGAATATCCAAGGAGAAAGCCCATAGCTACATTTACATGCACACTACGAATCCAGCCAGAATGTGACCGAACCAGTAATGAGAGTAAAGTGGAGGACAAGTAAACCCCAAACTCTCATTTGGTTAATGTGATCCAAGTGTACAATATACAATGTTTACCCATTGTCATTGCCATATTGAAGGACATTTCAATATGTAAACAACTTAATACAGATATGACTCTACTAAATTTAGCAAGAATCTAACTGTGTTAGATGAGGGTGACAGTACATCCTCATCCATTTAAGGCTACAAACTAAATGCTGCACCACAGTGTGGGGCATCTGTCTATTGGATTCAAATCACAATTTGATTGATTTAATATATATATATATATATATGAATAAGGTCTGTGTCAGGACAAAAAT